TATGAACAAACATATAATGATGGGCAATTTCTCCGTATTTTATAGACTTTTAGGACTCCTTGAAGTTGGCAGCTGCTCCTCCTTCCTCCCTGGTGTATTGGAGATAACTATCAGCCAAGGAAGATGCACATCTGTAATCCCACACCACCTGCTTGCCGTCTGTCCAGGCTTGAAAGGTGATACCAACCACCAGATGCTTCCGGCTGCTATCAGATCTGCAGAGTTGGGGTGGCTCTCTTATTGCTGGGCATCCGGCTGTTGTGAGGCTCTTCTTGATAATGTTATTAACCTCTTCATGCCTTGTAATCTTTCCCTCGGATTTACGGCACACAAGACCATGGTACCCGAATCGGTCTGCTGCTTCACTACCGCAAATACACCTGCGTTCGGCGAAAATAGGAGCGGCAGGTCGAAGAATAACACCAGTGCTGATAGTTTGTGGGTCGAGACGTGTGCCAAGGCTGGAGTTGGGAACATCCAACAGAAATTTCCTTCCATGAGGAGCTCTCACTGCTAGGAGACGGGCTCTATCCTTCCTCGACACACTCTGAAGCATGGTTGACGCCAGGTTGAGGCCAGAAATGAGTTGCCTTGTACAGTCATTTTCTTCGTCAACTCTTGAAGAGGGAAGGGCTCTTGATTCAAGGAATTACTCTTCCCCACCTCGAGTTAAATCTAAATACCTCCCATTCCACAGACACTGTATCTCCCTTACCTTATCCAGAAGTGGGTGATGGCAGAGGAGGGAGAGGTAGTCCAAGAAAGTGGTGCATACTCAAGGTGAGAGAGAAGGGGACCTCTCCTTTATACAAAGTTCTGCAGCCTCTACAGGTACGACATACTCCTTAGTGACGTAAGCTGTTAGGCTGCCTTGCTTCCAACATTCACGACTTATCGAATTTTGATATAAAACTTCGCAAGATCGAAAGATTTACATGTTTGTTGACAGTGAGTGCAGAGTGATGTTGCACCTCCAGGATAACAACTGCACAGATGTTTAATACTTCATTCATTTTTACCAGGTGACTGTCTGTCTGTTTCTGTCTCTGTGTCTCTGTCTCTCTCTGCTGAGGGGCGAGGTGGGGGGGGGAGCCACCCCCTACATACTCACCCCGCCACACCACACAACTTCTCTGGGTGAGATATCATATTATATCCATCCCTCCCCACCATACCCCTCCCTCCCCCCACCATATCCCTCCCTCCCCCAACAGGGTGCGATGCCGCATACCTCACTGGTGGGAGCATCATTCGCCTCACAATCGCAAGATTACGGACTCGATTCCCTGGTGCTGAAAAACATATAGGCAAGATTCCTTACACCCCAGCTGCTTTTGTCCATCTAACACTAAGTTCCTGTGTGCTAGCCCACACCTCGGGATCACATGTAAGGAAAAATGTGTTCAAAAATTCCAGTCCTACTGGAATGTCACATACAGTGTAAGAACACACTCCAGTCCTACTGGAATGTCACATACAGTGTAAGAACACACTCCAGTCCTACTGGAATGTCACATACAGTGCAAGAACACACTCCAGTCCTACTGGAATGTCACATACAGTGAAAGAACACACTCCAGTCCTACTGGAATGTCACATACAGTGAAAGAACACACTGCAGTCCTACTGGAATGTCACATACAGTGTAAGAACACACTCCAGTCCTACTGGAATGTCACATACAGTGTAAGAACACACTCCAGTCCTACTGGAATGTCACATACAGTGAAAGAACACACTCCAGTCCTACTGGAATGTCACATACAGTGAAAGAACACACTCCAGTCCTACTGGAATGTCACATACAGTGAAAGAACACACTGCAGTCCTACTGGAATGTCACATACAGTGAAAGAACACACTGCAGTCCTACTGGAATGTCACATACAGTGAAAGAACACACTGCAGTCCTACCGGAATGTCACATACAGTGAAAGAACACACTGCAGTCCTACTGGAATGTCACATACAGTGTAAGAACACACTGCAGTCCTACTGGAATGTCACATACAGTGTAAGAACACACTCCAGTCCTACTGGAATGTCACATACAGTGTAAGAACACACTCCAGTCCTACTGGAATGTCACATACAGTGTAAGAACACACTCCAGTCCTACTGGAATGTCACATACAGTGAAAGAACACACTCCAGTCCTACTGGAATGTCACATACAGTGAAAGAACACACTCCAGTCCTACTGGAATGTCACATACAGTGAAAGAACACACTGCAGTCCTACTGGAATGTCACATACAGTGAAAGAACACACTGCAGTCCTACTGGAATGTCACATACAGTGAAAGAACACTCCAGTCCAACTGGAATGTCACATACAGTGTAAGAACACACTCCAGTCCTACTGGAATGTCACATACAGTGAAAGAACACACTCCAGTCCTACTGGAATGTCATAGGAATGCCTCGGTAGTAAGGGAATCAGTAAGGATTCTCAGCACCATACCTCTTATCCACTCATCCCACTCACACACTCACCCCA